AAAAAAAAAAAAAAAAAAAAAAAAAAAAAAAAAAAAAAAAAGAAAGAAAGAAAAGAAAAGAGAAAAACAAAAGAAAGAAAGAAACAATTGCTGTGGATGTTCTTTGAAGTTTCTTCTAGACCTAAATTCTTAATTTCATGTAAAAGTACCCGATTTAGTAAATAAAAATATGAGATGCCAAATAAAATGTACATTTTGGCTAAATGATGAATATTTCTCTAGTATAAGGCCATCCTATCCCCTCCTTTCCATCCGGCCATTCTGATTCTATGATCTGCCCACCTCTCCAGAATAGAAGCAGATTTTCTAGCCAAATGAAAGGCCTGGGATTAGGGGGAAAGAGTCAGTAAATACTTCAGTAGATTTATATCAAGAAATATGGGTTCCCTTGGGTGGCTTGACCTCCCTACTCTGATTAGACATAGAGATGAGGACAACAAAAGGCCTCCACCTTGACCAGATTACTTGAAAAGGTAAAATTAATGGTAACTGCGGGCCACAGCATCAGACTTCTCATCCTAACCCTTACCTAAATGGTTACTTGAAGACAGGATTTCTAGACACCACAGAAGGACGAAGTTTAAGAAGACAAAAGGAAGAATAATGAACACAACAACAAAAAAGCACAACTCTGAGGTTCCCTGTTAAGTAATCATAAACAGATGAGTTTAAAAATGTAGCATAAAGTCCAGCTTGGAACAGAAAACAAGTTAGTCGAGCAGCACTAAGGCCCAGCTGGGAGAGAGCGCAGCCTGAGAAGGCTGAGCTCAAAGTCATGGAGACACAAAGGCCTTCTGTTCTTGGCTGTTTTCTTCTATATGAATTTTATTTTCTGCTCACAAATATCATCAAGGTCATTTTCACCCAAACTTCATGGAGTGGGCTTATGTATTGTGAGAAAAGACCTGGTTTCCAAGCTAAGAGAAGAAAAGGATAGTAAAAGAACTACAGGGGTAAAGTAGGTGCACTACCCTGCCAAGTATCTATGCTTCTGCTTGGAAGTCTACTAACACCATGTATAGATACTGGCTGTTCTTTGCCAGTCAGGAATGGTAGTGGTTTGGTTTTGTTCTTTTCACAAAATGAGAAAATGAGTGATCTATTCTATAAAATCAGTGCTTTTTGATGCATAATATATCTTTTAAACATTAATATTTGAGACTAAAAAATCTGGGGACTACTGCTATAGCAGATACTTATTGAAAGTCTACTATGAACTTGACTTTGTGCTATACATTTTTACAAATTTCTGAATGATTGTTCACTTCCTCTGAAAGGTAGGTGGCATCCTTTTCTATTTTTTCCTCTTTTTTTCCTTTTTGTATTTTAGGGAAGGGTCTACAGGGTGTTCAGGGTCTCACTACTAGATTGGATTTATAGTGATCGCCTGTTTACAGCCTCCCAAGAGCTGGGATTACAGGCACACGCCTCCACACCTAGTCTCAATTGCTGTCTCCACACACCCTGGGGGCACGGCAGGTCTAGGGTTCAAACCCCCAGCCCCTGTGCCTGCCTGCAGGCACTTCAATCCACTGAGCTATTTGGCCCCAGAGAGGCTAGTGGCCTGGCCAGGGCTGGTAGGTAACTTGCATGTGATTGGTCTGAGAGACCAACCGGTATCACCTGACTACAAATTCAATGTGTCTTTAATGTCTTTTTTAAGGCAAAGAAGCCAACCTACTAATGCAAAATCTGAACAAGCTGCAAACACCTGAAGAAAAGCTAGATTTTTTATTCAAGAAGTATGCTGAATTGGTAAGATCTTCAATTAACTTTTTTGGTATGTGTGTCAGAAAGAAGCAGAAGTTAGGGCTAAAGGAAAAAAATATTCTTCATTTTTTATATCATTATAGACCACATTGGTTTACTTCAGACAAAGCAAAGCTAGAATTCATAAAAGAAGCATTTTGTCAAGAAAAACTGATAAATAACCAAAAAAAGGAAGAAAAGAAATAATATTAGAATATCTATTTAATTATTTATATAATTTTGGAAGTGAAAAATTTGTAGATGTATAAATAACTCAAAATGGCGGATATTTTAAGTTCTTTTAGACTTTGCAACAAAACAGAAAACCCTCAATATAAGCTTAAAGAAACCTGAAACTTTAATTCTTACCCAGGTTTCAGGAGTCATAAAGGAGGAAAGGTAGAATCCGTGCCTCACGCGCGGTTTCTCTGGTCTGGCCCATTCCCTACAGTGGCAAAGTGTTCCACGCTGATTGTTTTGTGTCTCACTCCACGCATTCCCTTCCTCCCAGTAGTCAGCACTGCCACCCCCAGCCCGCAAAGGAAGCCACCCTGAACCTCCCAACGGATCCCCCAGGGTACTGGCCTCTTGGTGCCTAACAACTGGTCACTGGAGAAAAGGGAGGGGCTTCGCGTGGCTAGCGCGCCTGGTTGCAGTGAACCCTCATAAGCCGTTGCCGAGATGAACATGAAAATACTTCTTAGATACTTACTCTTTCCCCATAGATTATAGGACTCACCGCTAGGATGTAGCATCTTCTAGAAAAACTAACAATGTGCTTCTCTTTTATTTCTGCTTCTTTCCTTTAAAAAAATCAATTTATTTCTTTTAGAGAAGTAATGACAAGAGAATGAAATTTAAGACTGCACAGAGCAGAAACTCCCTCCAGGCAGCTGGCTGGAATGCCCCCCTCCCTCAGGTGGATTTATCTTACTGCTGAAGAAACTCCCGCCTGGGGCCGCTCACTGCAGGGCCTCTTCACCACATTATCTTAATGTTTTAAGGGGACCCCAAAACTGAATAAGCATCTAATGTATAAACTCACCACACTTAATTAATGGATAGAATTTCGTAAGAGTTTTCTTTTTCCCTCTGACCTCAGTCCTACAATCCATAACCCTTCACACGGTTGTCATGCACTAGTCTGAGGCCTGAGGCCTGAGCTGCTTAATTCTGCTAATATTATCTCTTCATTAATTTTAATCCTCAATCACACAAACTGCACTGTGATCACAGGAAAGTGCTGAGTACATAAAACGAAAACCACAAAATCTCAGATTCCATCACCTAAACACAAACCGTTCCATGAACACTGCTGTCCGGGTCTGCTGTGGATGCAGAAGTGTCCTACCGCTCGGTGGACACAGGAGCTGAGGGCTGGTTTTCTTGGCACTTTAGATAGACACTTTTCCCATATAGTTTATAGACCTCATAAACATGTTTTGCAAATGTTGTGTCACATTACATTAAGTGGCCGTATGTGTAGAGTCACTAAGTTGAGGGACATTTAGATTCCTCCTACTCTTTGCTATACCAAATGCTGCTGTAGTGAATGTCATCACGCATTAAATTTGTTCCTTCTTCTTTATGATTTTAAGAAAAAGTTCAGAAACAGGATGACTAAGGCAAAGCTTTTTGTCTACACTGCTTGCCAAAAGAATAGTAGAATTTACAAAACAAATATATCAACTTTATTGCAATTTCTTTAGCAATAGCTATGAAAAATTTAAAATACCATAAAATAAGTTTGGGGGTCAAAAATATTTCTCCCTCAGATCAGGCCCCCCGCAGTCCCCTTCTCTATGCTGTCCTCGCCTGTCCATCCTGCCTCCTTGTAGCACTCTTCCCATTGTCTCTCCCTTGCCATTGCTTTTCACCCATTCGTACCAAGGTGCTCTCCAGCGCCATGTGCTGTACTTAGCTGGACCCAGCAGCGTTCTAGGCAAGCGCAGATGCCATTGACAGTGCTGCGCTTCGCCAGCGTTTCTCCAATCTGGCCAAGACTTCTGCGTGAATCAGGGCTGTTCACCCTAGTCTCAGCTTACTCTTTGTACATACTCAGCCACTTAATAACCAAGATTACTTACTAGAGATCCTAACTCAGTTCAGGTCTCACTTATTGTGTTTTAGCATATATCTCATCTCTTACAATAAATTTTATTTTATTTTACTTTTTTGTGGCCAGTTCAGCCTGCCCTGGAGGCAGGGCTGGCGTGGCATGTGGTGCCGGGGGTCAAATCATGGTCCCTGCAGTTGCCCAAGCTTGCCTAAGCAGGCAGCTTTAGACCACTGAGCTATCGTGCTGGCCCTCTTATAATAAATTTTAAAATACAAAAAATAAAGGTAACTAGAAGAAACTTGACCCAGAAAACCCACTGTATTTCTTTTTCAGAAAAAAAAAAAATAATGAGGAATTTCAATTTTTACCTGGAGACAAAACCTATTTCCTGCTCACTGATTTGCATATTAATATAGAAAATGTCTGAAATATAATTTTTGCCATAAAATAAGTCAACTTGAAATCTATGAATCAAACTGCCACTCTAGGTCACTCATCCTTACACAGTATGAATCTTGTGACATTATCTGCCACTCAAAAAATATTAAGTTCATTAATAAATAAGGACATCTTATGACTAAATTAGAAAATGGTATAAGAAAAATATTTTCTTCAAATATTATGCCATTAAAATACTATCATGAACACAAGTCTACTTTAGTACTTGGCATCAGTTTTACCTAGAAAAGAGAGCAAGGGTGGGAGGGACTGTAGGTAAAATCCCATCTGCCCATTACAGTTGGATAGGAAAAACCATCCTGAAGTGCACGTTTGAATCCCAGATAGCATTTGACTGAGGTTCATTCAGTTGCAACATGCTGGTCTTCATTAAGAAATCCTATGCTCGCAGGGGAGATAGCTCAGTAGAATAAGCCTGGTAAGCGCAAGGTCTTGAGTTCAATCCCTGGGATCACAAAAAAGAAGGAAAGAAAGCCAGCCAGCCAGCCAGCCTATGCACTCATATATGCTCACAAGAGTCTGTTATTTCAGTAACACCACACACACACACACACACACACACACACACACACACACGGAGCAAGCGCAAATCCCCTCTCTCTTAACATAAGTTCGGTGTCTTCCTGACACTCAGAAAAAGCCACATAAGGTGATGCTCCCCAAACAGAGGCACTTTGGGGGCCTGCCCATTAGCTCAGTTGTTTAAGTGCCTGCTCATGTAAATGCAGTCGGGGCAGGCTAGTGTGGTTCGATCCCCACCTCCACCTATCTTACCCTTAAGGCAGCCTGAGCCAGCCAAAAAAAAAATCTCATTTCCAAACAGAGGCACTTTTGCCCACCAAGGGACAATAGTCATCTGTGTCTGGAGACCTTTTTGGACATTACAATTGGATGGTGTAACTGGCATATAGTTGGGGACAGGGGCCAAGGGTGGAGCTAAGCAACCTAGAACGTACAGGATATTGCACAGTAAGAAATTATGTAGCCCAAAAACATGTAAACAGGACCGATGTTGAAAAGTCTTGACATATGAATTAATCTTTAAAGTATAAACCACAATAGGAATAACAATAATAACAATATGTACATCTTAAGAAAGTCTACAGTCTTTTAAAATCTAAATATAAGATGGGGCATTTCACCTGTCTGAAAACTATGATGCAAAATGAAAGGACTGCGTTTATATTATGAACAAGAGTTTACCATGAAAAATATACACTGAAGGATAGTTGACTTTCCAAGAAGGATACCAGTTTCAGTCAATATTTTTAGTAACATGGTTCTCGTTTTTTTTCCTAATGCTAATTTCCACTAATAAGAAATTGCATAAGTATGAAGAGAGAATATCAATTATGCATATTCTTACTGTTACAAGGGCTTATAGTGGTTATTTCAATGTGACAGAAGGGAGAGAGGAAAGGAATCAAACAAAGAGTCAACTGAAGAAGTTGTGGCAGACCTGCTCAGGAGCAGAGAAACTAGGACGTGGGTCAGGGTCCACGTAGCATGGATGTCCATTTGTAATGGGCTCTGTGAGGCACCAGGAATAGCTGGGTCTAGAAGCACCCAGGGCTTCTCCATGGCTTTTCTTGCTGGCAAACAAGGTCACTGCTCAGGACAGTACCTTCCTGGTTGAAATATCATTCAGGTACTAAGGGTAGAGAGTCTAGCAGAGAAAACAGTTCAACACAAAATGCTACTGCTCCAGTGTGGCCTCACTAATGGGCAACTTGAGACCGACACTGCCATAATCAGCTAATTTTTTTTTTGCTATAGGTGTCTGGAAGTTGATTCCCTCACTCTCTCCACAAGCACTAGGATCCCAGGAGAATGTTACCAGATTTAGCAGACAAAAATGCAGCATACTCAGAGACTGAGTAGATAGCTTGGTGACCTAAGCACCTGCCTGGCAAGCTCGAGGACCTGGCTTTGATCCCCAGTACTACACTGTGCTGGCCCCAGAACCCTGGTCCCACGATGTAAAAACTGGGCATGGTGGCACATGCCTGTAATCCCAGTGCTAGGGAGGCTGAGACCGGAGGATCACTGTGAGTCTGAACTGCATAGTGAGACCCTGTACCAAATAAATAAATAAAAGATTTTAAAGCATTACGTCATATCCAGTTAACTTTATATTTCAAAACACTGACAAGTAATTTTTGGTAAAAGTATAGCCCATCCAATATATGGTATGTAATTACACTAAAAAAGTCTTAGTTATCTGAAATTTAAATTGTACTGGGTGTCTCATGTCCTATTTGGCAAAGCTACCTTAGAATTTGAGCATCCTCAATGGAAAGAACAGGGGTAAAGTGGTTTCATTTTCATGCCATCCTTGGTACTTCAGTTGTACGTGTTGGAGGAGTCTAAGAAAGCCTCATGTGGGCTTGTCAGAAACCAGTGCTGCAAGGTCTTCAGGGTAGGCACAGAAGGTGGGGCAGGGGACACAGGGACAAGCACCCTCCAGACAGCTGCCTTCCAAAGTGTATGTGGTTGAGAGCTACGTTCTTGGCCCCTTCTTTCCCACACCCAAAACCTCAAGTTATCTGTTTATCAGGAGGCTACTTTTCCCTTTCCTATTTTTTTTAAAATATCATTAGAAGCTTATTTTAAGAAAGAATTATGTGAAAGAAATGCAACCCAACAAACTATTGACCACTGCCAGAATGCAAGTTATTGTTGTGAATCCTGGTTGTTTTCACATTTTGAGATATGGCTTTCCATATTGGCTGGTGCCATTAGGTAGACTCAAGAAAAAATATTTCTAAATAATTAAGAAAAATCAAAGATGATTAATAACAATGCTATAGGACCTGTAAGTATTATTCAGTAAAACCATATCGACAAGTCCTGCAAATGAGATGGTCATGAAGTTAGTGTATTTTCACAAGGACAGATATCAGCAAAAAGTGTTTGCAAATAGCCAGAGCGACCCCTAGGTTTTGCCCCTTCTGCATCCTCTCCAAAGTGATACATACCATTTTCTTTCACATTTGCAACCCTCTGTCTAGCTGGATGAACATCGCACCGACCAAAAGAAGTTAAAACTCCTACAAAAGAAACAGGTACAAACGCAGAAAGAAAAAGACCAGCTACAAAGTGAGCACAGCAGAGCTATCCTGGCTCGAAGCAAGCTGGAGAGCCTGTGCCGAGAGCTGCAGAGACACAACAAGACGCTGAAGGTATGCATCGCCCACCCTGGAGAGACACACTGTCCTGCAGGCTGCACAGACCCAGCCCCCTGCTACTGCTACCTACAGAAAAAAGTAGGAGTCTTAGAAAGCATAAAGTTCAAACCCTGATTCTGCCACTTGCTCACCTGTGACTTTCACATAGTTATTTTATCTCCCTGAGCTTGTTTCTTCCTCCATGAAGTGGGTATTGTACCATCAATGCCTACACAGCTGAGAAAAACTTGTATGGCTGGGAGAAATTACATAAGGTATTCACAGAGCACTAGAGGCACTATAGGCCCCCGATAAACACCTTCTCATTGGCTTGAGTCTGTTTCTAAGGTAGTAGACTACTCTTTGAGTATTTGTAAAAACTCACTATCTTATAATATAATGATATGACATTATATTATATAATTATCTCTGCATGACATGAGATAAATAGGCACAAAGCTAATTGACACGATAAGGTGAGAATGACAGCCAAATGTCAATAGTCATCTGGAGAAAAGAAGCTACTTGAAAAAATATTGCAGCTCTTCAGACTTAATTATTCAGTCTAAAAATAATAGACTGATCACTTCATTCAGTCTGCATGGGCTTCATTAATTATAGTGTAAATCCCTCACAGTGTGGTTGATTTGATTACACAGTCATTCGCTCCATTCAATAAAGCCTGTTGCAGGGCTGTGCAAGCTAATGCTGTCTACATTCGCTGCACCCCTTCCCACAGAAGATCCCGAAGCTTTTACAAACAGTAATTAATTAAATACCAATACTACTATGAGGCAGCCACTACTGCCAGTGCTCTAAAGGAATTACTTTAAGAAATGAAGACATTAAAACCATTGCTGACTTCGTACAATGAGTTAGAAAAGTAAGAATGGTTAGGTGTTTCTTGTCTTCCACATGGTCTCTGGTGTCTAGGAAGTGGGGAACCAGTGTGTTGAGCTCTAATTCTAAAATTTCAAGTTTGAGGAGGTTAGATTCCAGTAGCTCTTCAATGACCGCACTAAGGACACCAGAAACACAGGCTAGACGGGAGGTGAAAATGTAATTCTTGGCTCAAAATATGTACTCAACTGATGGTATCCTGTCTCTGTAAGTCTTCCAGCTCTTGGAAGTACGATGAGGAGACATCAATTAAGTCAGATAGGCTGGGAAGATGTATCAGGGAAGAGATCAAAAGTGAAAATTGTATGGCTGGGGAACTTTGGGGAGCATTCAAAGGCAGCACGATGGGAGTGTCAGAGGCCACGCATCTATGGACACACATCTTCTATGGTGGCTTACAGCTGTTGACAGTGAAATTATGCGTCATGATTATGCCAAGAGTTGTTCTGAGTGCTCATCTATGTTACTTCATAAACAACCGATGAGAGACTATCTCCACTTTATTGATTCAAATTCAAGCTATATTTCTAAATTCTCTTCTGACTTATCTTTGACCCACAAGTTTTTAGGAAGTAATATTTAATTTTTATAGGCTACCACACATGGTTCATCTTATTGGATATACAATGCACACTTAGAATGCTGTCCAGATGGTGCTGTAGTGTTCCATCAGTAGTGATTAGCTTTATGCTGTTTATGTATAAATACTGACATATAGTGTTTAAAACCTCCTAGTATAATTGTGGAATTGTCCTCTTCTTACAGTTCAATCAGATTCTTGTTTGTGTATTTTGAAGCATTGATACTGTACATATATACATCTATGGTTGTTTTGTCTCCTTGATCTACTGACCACTTTATCATTATGAAATGTCCATTGGCAATAATCTTTATACTGATATTTATATTATCGATATCGATACAACCACTCTACTTTTCTGACTTTCATTGTTTTCCAACTATCCTTTTGCATCCATTTATTTTCAACTTGGGCTTTTAAAGAATATTTCAGACCAGTGTGATGTCATATACTGGTAATCCCAGCACTTGGGAGGCTGAGGCAGGAAGATTGCTTCAAGTTCAAGGCCAGCCTGGGCTTCCAAGTGCGTTCTAGGCCAGCCTGAACTACATAGCAAGACCCTGTCTCAAAATAAGGTATATTTCATTGATAGTTGTACTTTGTCTTCTTCGTTTATTTAGTATCTGCCCTTAATTGGAGTGCTCCTCCAACATATGATGTAATCACTCATGTAGTTAGGTAAAATGATGGACATCTTTTTTTAGTACCTTCCCTCTTTGTTTTTCTGTTCCTCTGTTCTATTGTTCTATACCTGCCTTCCTTTGGATGATATGAAAAAATTTTAAATCACATTTTATCTCTTTGATTTTTATGCTATACCTCTTTGCATTATCATTTGCTGTGTGACAACAATTTATATTCTTAATTTTTCATAATCTACCTGGAGCTAATAATACTGTATCATATCACATAATATGTAAAGGTAATGCAACTAAATGGGTTCATTTATTTCCTCCGCCTTTAAGTGATGACTGTTTCATGTCCACAAGTACATACATTCATGAAGTTTGTAAGACAATGTTATAATTTATATTCATACCATGTTGTCTTCTTTTAAAAATTAAAGGGCAAAACTGTCTTTTTTCTTTGCCAGATATTTAGTATTCCAGATGCTGTTTATTTATTCAAAACTGGCAGCTTTCTGTCAGGAGTCAAGACCCTTCTGCTAGAAGGATTCCCTGTAGTGCTTATTGTCAAGATCATTACTAGCACTTGGTTTTCAGAATCTTAACTGTTTTATATCCAGGAACTTTCTTCACATACTTGGTATTTGTTGCACTTTCTGTATCTGTAACTGTATGTTGTTCACCAAACTTGGGGAATTCTAGCCACTGTCTCTTCAGCGTCTCTCCTCTCTCTCTCACTCCCCTTGTCTCTCATCTCACTGTCCCATCTAAGATCTGACTTCCATGTGTGCGGGACCTTTCAATACTGTCCCCTAGCTCTTTAAGTCTTTGTGTTCTTTACCATTTTTTTCTCTTTTCCCTTCAAATTACATCATCTCTATTAGGCTATCATCACATTCACTGATTATTTTCTGTTATTTCTATTCTCTAAATCCGTGCAGTGATTATTTGCATTTCAGAAGTTCATCATTCTTAGTTCCATGATTTATACCTGGTTTTTTAATGTGTGATTATTCCTGCCTGATATTTCTTGGGCTTTTTTTTATCCATTGATATAACATTTTCTTTTATATTATTTTCATAGTTACAATACCCATTTCAATTTCTGCTATCCTCACATCAGGGTCATGGGGGAGCAGGCCACCTCTGCTTGATTTTGAAAATGGCTCTTTTTATTGGTTCCATGTCTAGTCATCACCATGAGCCTGGATTTTGTGACTGCTGACATTTCGGAGAATCTGGATACTACTATAAACCCCTGAAGAATATTATTTTTTTAACCAATTTCTATGATTTGGTCGGATTCAAACTACAGACTTTGCTTCTTGGACAACAACTAACACTCACTTCAGTTCTTTTTTTTCTATAGCTAGGCTGCTTTGAATCTATCCTGATCATGCGTGGTTTGCAGATATTTGGGTAGGGCTTACTCACAAAAGGTAGGGTTCTCCTGCTCTGATTATTCCTAGGACTCTTGCTCTCACTCTTCAGTAGCTATAGATGGCCAGAATTCCTACTCCTTCAGACCATAATTACAGCAGGTTGGGAGGATTTCTATGAATGCTTTACCCTCCCCATTCTGCTGCCAGTTATAGATGTCCTTTAGAATACAGGCAGTAAAAATCAAGAAACAGGTACTTTATACAAGGGTCAACTTTTTTTGAGAATCTGCCTGATTTCATTTACCCTACAATACCTTTAAGTAGCTATTTCTTACATTTTCTCCAAACTATATATATATATATATATATATAGCATTACCAGGGATTGAACTCAGAACCCTGTGCTTGCCAGGCAAGCACTTATTCTACTGAGCTATCTCCCCAGCCCTTACATTTTATTTATTTCTTTCTCCAAATCTTATAGTGTTATCTGTGGAGCAGTCAGCTTAGTACAAGCTTCTTCATCTCTACTAGTGAGACAGCCTCAGTACCTGATTCTAAAATCTCCTGTGCTAAGAGCTGGGGAACAAGAAAATGCATGACATCCTTTTACAACCATGTATCTTAGCTTTAGTCTTTATTAAAAGTGCTTCTTCCTTCAGTTAAACATACACAACCCCCACTCATGCACACACAATTTAGGATAATTTAGAAACAGCAGTGAAAGCCTGAGAAATACTTGTTTCCACAAAACACCATTTACTATTAAACATTATTATTTTATTAATTTTCTAGGTTTACTTATATCTCATTAAAAAAACAATATAAGGAAAAATGTATCATGCCCTTTTGTGACCCAGGATTGGGCACTATGATGGCCTGATGTGTTCAATGCCACACTAGCACACACACCTCCTTTCAGTACCCAGCTTCTGTGAAATGCTTAGATTTTTCTGGGTTATATGTGATGGTTCTCTTCTTTACTCATTCATTCGTGGATAGAATATTTATAAATGCAAATGGAAAGTAGATAGATCGTGTTCTGTAATTCTATAACTCAGACCTTGCTGACTTCTAAGTATATCAAGAAAAATGAAGTAACAATAACTATTATACCCGGGGAGATAGCTCAGTAGAATAAGCGCTTGCCTTGCAAGAGCAGGGTCCTGAGTTCAATCCCTGGTACCACAAAAAAAAAATCACTATTATATGTGTATTCAGTTGCTCTAATTGACAGCCATAATTTTCATAAAATGATGTAAGCACTAGCACACAAAATTCAGGAAAATAGTATCTTAAATAGCTAACTTCTTCAGGTTAGGAAATACAGATATCTTCTACAGATCTCTGAGAAGTTGTTGCCTAGTGAAGGTTTACAAATGAATAAATTATGATTCACATGGCTGCTTTAGAGTTAGGAAATATATTAGTATTGCATAGGAAAGATGAAACCCTACGTTATTTCCAGAGCATATATTTCCAACATCAGTTTTTATTTGGATCACATTATTCTATCATAATAAAGATTTGTACAATTACTTCTGTTACAACAATTATTTCTTTTAAAAATCCTGTTACATAATTGGAGAGGCCACAAAGCACAGTATAATTTTACTTGTCAATAATGAAGCAAGCTTTCATATTAACAATTAATGAGACCTGAAAGGAGTGCTAAAATATGTGCCTCATTTGTCAGCACTGTGTCTCTATCTTTGGAATAATGTAGCAAGATCAAAGCCTTTTATGCTGAAAAAATGAGAAGAACAATCACAAAGCAAACAGTTCTCGACACAGATAGGGACTTCGCACCCACTGCTGGAGGTTAGTAATGAATGGAGAGTTTTGAGTTAGGAGAAAAAAAGAGAACAGAAATAATATAAAAGTTAATTTCCAATTCTTCCATGCTGACAAAGAGTAACAAGGGAAAATTAGATGTTTCGTTTTAACATTGAAGAGATGTGAAACCCAATAGTACTTTCAAATTCAAAATTTACACTGAATATTTCATTACACTATGTAACACATATAATGAGGATTCTTCCAGAAATAAAATATCCAGTACATTTGAAAAGATTTCCTTTTATACTTTTGAAGAGCTTTTATTGATCCATAGTTTTCTTACTTTCCTTCATTAAGTACCCTCTGATGACAGTACTTTTTTCTTATTAAGAGAAAGATTATATTGCGATCACTCGAATTTACAAAACTTAGCCAACACAGTTCTGTGGTTAATATGTCACAGTTTTTAAAAGGCAATATTAGAGATATCAGTGTTGCTCTAGGGCAAAAGCAAAGAAACCCTTGGTGTGTCCCATCAATCTGTACAGCTGAGTGGCCTTAATACAGGCCACAACCAAGACACCAAAACCGTGTGACTACGTATTTGTCAGAAATCACTGCAGTTCATTCACTCAGCGAGAGCCCTTATCATGTATAAAACAAGCCTATTCATCACCAAGATCAAATCCAAGACCCTCACAGCACCCGCGCTGAGTATCTACTAACAGCTGAAGCCTTTACTAATACATTTATTGGAGGACTGAACGACTTAAGCTTAATGAACTGAGGAAAAAAAAAAAAAAAAATCTCACCAACCTCCTTTCGGTGACCTCACCCAGAGTTGTCCAAACCTGGGGATCCTTTAAATCACAATGAAAAAATCTTCTACTTTTTATCCACAGGAAGAAACCCTCCAGCGGGCACGTGAGGAAGAAGAGAAAAGGAAGGAGATCACGACTCATTTCCAGACTACCCTGACGGATATCCAGGCCCAGATAGAGCAGCAGAGTGAGCGAAACATGACGCTCTGTCAGGAGAACACGGAACTCGCAGAGAAACTGAAAAGCATCATCGATCAGTATGAGCTCAGAGAGGAGGTGAGAACCGCACTCAAGAGCTTTGAATTGCTGTCTGCAGACCTGGACCTGGGTCGTGAAGTTGGAGAAGTTGATGAATAAGAAACGTATGCACAAATCTTAAAGCCGATTGTTAGAATTGAATTTCTTATTACACTAGCCAAAAATAAAGACAGACGGAAGCGTAGAATACCTGGCTGAAAGACCTACTGAATTTCGTCAAAACTGGAGTCGCTGCAACATAAAGGCAGTAAGCAGTAGCGTTAACTCAGTTATCCTTGAAAAGAACATTTCTCAGCCCTTTAAAAATCTTTTCTATGTTTCCAAATAATAACCCACATTCTAGTCTTTAGAATTACTATTTCTACAGAAAAAAAAAATAATAAAATTACTATTTCTAGGACTGGCCAGATACCTCAGTGGACTAAAGCGCCTGCTGAGGCAGAGCACAGCGGCCAGGGTTCTGATCCCTGGAGTGCGGTGCTGCCCGCCCCAACCCCGGGGCACACTGAGACAGTGTTTGAGACTGAGCATGGTGGTGGCGGGCCTGTAACCCCAGTGCTTGGGAGGCTGAAAACAGGAGGATCACTACAAGTCCGATCTACGTAGTGAGACCCTGTACTTAATTAATTAATTAATCAATCAATTAAAATAAAACACTATTTCTGGCTCTGCCCCAGGGGTGCACTGAGCCAGCAACAGAATCCAGACATGGTGACGTGCCTGTAATCCCAGCGCTGGGGAGGCTGAAAACAGAAGGACCACTAAGAGTCCAAGCTGTGTAGTAAGACCCTGTACCAAGTACCTAAATGAAAAAATAAATAAATAAGATCACTGTTTCATCTAATTAAGGATCTTATATCCTATAAACCAGTAGTATTAATAATGGACTAATTATAAGAATGCTATCTCCTGTATGCTTAGTTTGTGTCAGGCAGTACGCTAAACTCCACACTTTGTGTACAATGTACCATTCATTTGTCTCAGGTTCCTTGTAAAATTGAAAGTGCTCTATTTTCCTAGCTTTATATTTGGGAAGCAGAAGCTCTGAGATTAAATCACTCATGGTCACAAAAGTCAAGACTTTGAACGTCAATGATTTATAACAGAATGTGTATTCATGTGAATTATTTTTTTCCTTTTTTGCATTTTTAAGAACCAACGCTAAACCATGCTTTCTATGTGTATTGCGTTTTTCCTTAGCATCTCGACAAAATATTTAAACACAGAGAACTGCAGCAGAAGTTGGTGGATGCAAAACTTGAGCAGGCACAAGAAATGATGAAAGAAGCCGAGGAGCAACACAATCGAGAAAAGGAATATGTACTTATCCTTTTAGTCAGTGTGCTGTCTGGTCTGCCTAGGTGACAGAAACTCAGTTTTGGTAACGGTCAAAGAGTACGACAGTGATTGAGGAAGAGCCTGAGCATCTATGGAGAACTAAATGAGCCAGCCCACTCTGAAGCACTGTATCTACCCTGTTTCCCACACAAAATAGTCATTTAGTGAATATTTTTCAAATGTCCATTGTCTGCTGGGCACTAGTTTTAGTCCTACAATATAGCTGTAAATGAGCCAGAGAAGGGTCACCTCCCACCACGCAGATTATAGAGTTTGACTGGGAAGAGACAGTCACAAGCTAACATACAAGGGAGGGCAATTCCAGATAAAAGTAAGTGCTGTTAGGAAAATAAGGAAAAATTAAGAAGGGACCACGGCAGGGCGGGTATGTGAGACTGGTGATCAGAAGGCCTCCAGGAAGGGAGGACACTTGAGCCAAGTCCTGCCTGATGTAGAGCCACAGGCAGACCGTCATCTGCAACAATGACAAAGTCCCGATGCTGAAAATAGCCTGGCATGCTCCCGAGATAGAAAAGGTCAGAGAAGTAAGAGCATGTTGACCAACTGAGCGAAAGATTCAAAATGAAATTACAGAAGTAAGCAAGGGTCAAACTGTGTAGATTTTGCACAACTTGAAAAGTAGTTTGGATCTTATTTGAAATACAATGAAACAGTATTGAGCAGTTTTAGCAAAAAAGTGATGTGACCTACTTTATATCTGTAAAAGATTAATTTGGCTCCCTAGAGGAAAATGGATCACAAAAGAACAAGAAAGCAAGAAGAGAAGAGGCTGGTGTAGTGATCCAGAGCAGAGATGGTGGTGAGCTCCGTTAGGAAGGAGGCAGCCAGGGAGGACAGACAGAGATGAATACAAGTTTTTCTTTTTTTTATGTTTTGCATATTTAGCACTTTTGTTTTTAATATAATCTAATTTAATTATAATTTTCCATAATGTTATTGAGAAACAAATAGCAATGAGACAGTTTCAAATCAAATTAGTAGGACAGTTTCAATAATTAATACATTGCATATTGTATTAGTGGTTATTCATTGTACAAGATGCAGACACGATATCCTGTTTACTAACACTTTTAGAACAAATCTTTCTATTCACTGAATTAAGAGAATGTAGCTGTATATCTATCCTAACTATTTTGAATATACAAATACAAACATAGTCATTCATTTGTATCCCCTTTTACTGTTTAGTTTTGTCATTTAAATATTATAGGTATGTCCAGTAGTCCATAATAGTAGTGGGTTTTCCGTATGACTGACAATGTCAGAAGATGTTGACTTGAGCCTTTTACAGCTCAGCATAATAATATGGCTGTACTATTTATACTTCGTTTTCATACTTTTCTGCTGGATGGTTAAGACCAAGATAAAGCAAGACCTATATAACAAGAATTGTAGCTTTTGTGTCTGATAAGGTCAGTCATATTCCCTTAGGATTCATCCTGAAACCCTGTACTGCAGTTTGTAGATCCTTTGTCAGTGTCAGCCATGTGGATGAGTCACGGAAGGTTTTCTATGGAAACCAGCAGGCAATGCCGTTGGTCTGAAGATGGTAACAATGAGAAGGGGCTGAGTCGAGGATGATGTCTGAATTTCAGATTGCAGAAAAGGAACGGTGGTGTTTACCGGTCCTCACTGCCCCGCACGTGGTCCAAAAGCTGCTGGGCCACTCTACAAATGTGAAATGAGGTTCCAGTTCAATGTGCAGTTTGTGTAGGGTCACATGCAGCAAAGTGATCAAGATGTGTTTTAAATGCGGGAGCCCAAGCTGGTCCCCAAAGCCCAAGCCTTCTGTAACAGCACTTCATAGGCAGAAAAAGTTGGGTTACAGACTTTTAATTAGAAGCAAATATCACTTGTCGGGGACAGAAAGATTGAAGACCCAATTGATAGACCAGTTATTCAAATTTGGCCATTTGACATTTGATCACAAGCTTTTCATTTCTCTAAAATGAGACCAGAATCACTCCAATTTGTAAAACAGTAATTTTAAAATAACCTCAACTTTCAAACATAGAAACAAAAAGATGAATTTTTCAGAATACAATCTTACAGCCAGTAGACAGTTTCAATTGGAAATCTCTTTCTCTTCTGAGAAATATTAATTCATTAAACCCATCCACAATCTAGCTCTCAGAGTAGTAAATGAAATATTTATTATTCAAAATCTAAGAAGCAATTTATCCTCATAGATAAAATATGCTTCCTGCAAGATATCAGTATTTGACTACTACACATGAGGTACAACAAAGGAAGAACGGAGCAAAGACGCATGCACGGGACTCTAGAGAGACTTGTGGTGATCCAGCCTTAGCAAGAAACTAGCACCCTGTCTAGTTTTTCTACCCTTGTTTAGCAAAAGAGCAGACTTGGGTCAGAAAGGGGAAGCTGCCTTAGCTCTCCAAAAGTGGCCATCTGCTTGGATTGTAGCTCTTGTAACTCATTTTGAGAATTACGATACATGAGTCCCAGTGGGAGTTTTTCCACACAAATAGAATACCCAACCACTCACCTCCTGTTAGATCAGACATCACCCATTACAACAGGCTGTACAAGTAGCTGAAAAAGCAGGGACCTGCACACAGCCACCGCAATCTTCAGAAGCCCAGAGGTAGCACTGGAGGTCTATCTTGCAGCTGCCCCATAACCTCTCATAGAACCAATCAGTTCTACTTTACAAAATATCTCTAGGTTTTTATACAATCAAAAAGAAAACAACTAGAAGTTTTATATGACACATGATAGGTATTAATTTTGTAAACTAAATAAAACTTGGAGCTCTAACTAGAAGACCCTAACCCCAAACAGACCACATCAAAGTTGATAATTAACATACATCTTAAGTTAATATAACATGTTTTACACATGTATGACAGTTTCATGCTAAAATCAACATTTTAAGTTAATGTGAGCTCCCACTTCTGACCATGTCTGAGCATGTTTTACTGCTTTTGAAAGGATAACTGTGGGAGAAAGACGAAGCTCCCGATTTTGTAAACTTTCAGAGAAAGGTATCCAGAAAAATAAGTCAAAGTTCTGTCCCCCACACTAACCCAAACTGTATTTGCCATAAGGACAGATTTTAATCACATTGTAAATCATCCCCTCTGGGAGGGACCTGCCTTTAACAGGCTCCCAAGAAGGTTCCAGTGCATGATGAGAGGTCTGCGTCGGGAATGGGACAGAGATCAAGTCAGTGTTTCTACTGCACTGACCCTTGTGGGATCTGAAAGAACGATGCTAAGTCAGTGTAAAGGACACTTCCTACAGTGGGGCTCAAGCAGGGAGGTTCTGGGGACATTTCGGCAGAGGCTGATGACATCTAGAAGGGATTGCAGAGGAGAATCCAGAATTTAGTGGGCGGTTGAATTTTGCATGATTCATGCTTGAGTTAGACACATTTTTTTCATTAAGACCACTAATTTTGGTCTAGGGACGTAGGTCAGTGGAATCATACTTTCCCGCATGTGTGAAGTCTTTGGTTCAAGCCTAGCATAAAAACAAATATCCTAAACAAACCAAAACCTTAGTTTTTAATTAAAAGTGAAATATTTTAGACTGTTTTCTTAGAATTTTTTATAAGATCTATGCCAAAAAATGAAGAAATTTAATAAGAAAAAATTATTTTATATACAAATTGTAGGCTAATGGTGATCTGCAAAACAAACTGGCGTGATTTCCAATGCTTTCTCTCTTCTCACAGTGGCTGATTTCTCTCTTCTCACAGTTGCTGAACCAGGCAGCAGAGTGGAAACTTCAGGCAAAAGTGTTGAAGGAACAAGAGACCGTGCTGCAGGCCCAGGTGAAGGGGGAGAGAAGGGAATACAGGTGTGCGCTTCCTACTGGTTCCAAGAGGCTAGAACCAGTGGTGGTCCAAGAGTCTCCCACATGGCAAGGGATGAGGGGACCAGGGTAGGTGTGGAAACAAAGAAGACCTTCACATTTACTGAGTGTAAGTAAAATCAAAAGCTTAGTACCATATTATGTCTAGAAAAAAATATATCCTCTGTCCAAACAACCCAGTCAAAAGGTTTGTTGACAAACGAAATCAAAACTGTCACAGAGGGTGGAGAGATAGCTTGGCAGTCTAAGCGCCTGCCTGGGAAGCACAAGGTCCTGAGGTCAATCCCCAAAACAGAAACCTCTGAAGATCTGTAAATGTTCATATGCTGAGTATAGAATCTTTGTTCAACTGCAAAAAACAATACTTATGTGTGAATGAACATGTTCAATGAGTATCTTTTCATCATAAAAGAAAAAAATACAAAATTTAAGATAACAAACTGTACCGTTGCATAGACAAAAACAGAGAAGACATTATCTTACCTAGCTTTCCTAAAGTGTACTTGTGCAATGCACATAGAGAACGCAACGATAAATTGTTTTCTTCAGTAGGATCTATTCTCTGAAAATACATAAAAACAGCTTAAAAGACTAATTATCTACCTACAGGTGGGCAACAATGTTTCTGACTTTTAGTAGAATCAAAGGGCTGTGAGTTATTCAGGATTCATCTTCAGGGCGTCACAAAGCCCGTCGCATCGTGGCAGTAGAGGTAAGCAAGCAGGTGGGATCTTCAACCAGGATGCAGAAAAAGCAGCAGGACCTTAGTGACCAGGGCTGGGGACACCCAGAGAACCAAGCCAGAGCTTTTGCTCTGTCCTTGCCTCATTTGCAACTCAGCTCGAGAGAAACAGTGGACAGTACTTGAAGTCACAGTCTCTACTCTTCTATGCTAAATAAAGACAATGAACTTGAGAAAAATAGGTTAATATTATTGCTTTCTGAACTAAACAGAAAGTAATAAAAAGTGATTCATTTAGCTGGCATCAGAATTTAGGCTTTTAACAGTCTATGAAATAAAAATGTAGAATGGATCCTGTTTCCCAGCTGTAGCTCTCAAACTTGAAAAAACATCTGCCAGGGGTTCTAGACTCGCCACAGTTTCTCCTTCCTGAACTGTCCTGAACTATGTCTAGAAACCAGGGTCAGAGTCGTGGTCCTCTACAGAGAAACTGTGTGACCCTGGGCAGCTCACCTATACCTCTTTGGATCTAAATGTCCTTGTCTATAACATGAAGATCACAGCCATAAATCAGTGACCCCACTTAGGGTCCTCTGATCTCTGTGAGGCCCATAGGTTTTCAGCATTTCCAAAACAGCAGCACTGGGGCTGGGGAGATAGCTCCAGTAGAATAAGCACTTGCCTGATAAGCACAAGTGCCTGAGTTCAATCTCCAGTTCTGCCCCCCCCCCCAAAAAAAAGCAGCACTTCAGGCTGTAGCTGCTCTAAAATGCAGTTGCTTCTGACGTTGTATCAGCTCTTACTCTTTAGCTGTGGATGGTAATTATTCATACGTCTCATGTTTAAAAGGACAGTGAGTTAGTAGATGTAGAACATAGGCAGTACACTATCAAATTATGTATGCAAAGTGCTTCATTTGGTGTCTGGTCCATAAGCATGAACGATTCAACCAATATCTATTGAGTACCTACTAAGTGGTCCTAGATGTTAGAGATACAATAATCAATAAAAGAGACAAAAATCTCTACCTAATTTAATTAACAGTCTAATGCTACAAATATTGCTCATACAAATTCTATTACTTAGAGCACAAACTAGTATAGACTAGTATGTTATTTCACAGGTAGAGCTCCCTACAAGGAAGTCTGAAACAAAGGGAATCTTGAGTTACAAAAAAAGTTTAAGAACTACTGGAAAATAGAATCTCAAGACCCTTTTCCGCTCTAGGTCATGAACATAGAGAATTTCCAGAGCTAAAGAAATATAACCCAAGGCCGGGTTTACCCCACACTTCCCTCCAGAGTCTGCAGTTTGTCACAGGGCAGACAGATTCAACAGCGGCAAAGACCTTGTCTATTTTTCTCTTCTGAACTCCAAGGCACTTTCAAAATTCCAAAATTAGTTAACCAGAGAGAAAATAAAGGCTCCAAATCACTATGTGTAATACTGTTTAAACAAGTTGCCCAGAAGTACTAATGTTCTTATTTTAAATACTTTTGGTGGATAAGGTAGCTCCACCTTATTCTGGAGGCTGAGGCAGAAGGATCACTTAGGGCCAGCCTGAGCAACACGGTTAGACCCCTAAATAAATAGATAGATAAATAAATAAATAAATGCAAACTTTTAAACCTTGGGAAACAAACCCTCCTACAAATGACTTTGCATGCCATGCAAACACTTCCTTCTGTTTTACACTGTCCTTGAAAGGGAAGAAGTGGCAGGAGGCCAAGGCCTTTGTCCTCATCACCAAAGCCTGAACAATAGAAATATCAAAGACACATTATTACCTTGTTTTCCTAGAGTGAAGTCACTTTTCAGCCATAAGACAACAGCTGGCCTGTTGAAGGCGTGTTTCTCACTTAGAGAAGGGATGTCTGGCTTTCAATTACACAAACTAAGGCAATGGAGTAACTGTCAGAGACGATCAATGGGATGCAGTTGTCACTACAAATGGAATACTCGTCAGATCAATAAGGGTGAAGACAGCAAGAGATGTGGAAAGCCAGTCTGACAGCACAGACACGAAATACCAGCCAAGGGGAAAGAACAGTGAATGAACTACTCAAAATGTACAATTATAATCTTTAAAATCAGAAGTCTTCACTTTACATAGGATGAGCAGAGAGCCTCTACTCTTGGAATAAGACTCATTACCAAGCCAGATCTCACTTAGAGAAGATCTTGGTAAGACATTTCCTAGACACAGTTTTGTTTCCTACACACTACAAATGTTTTTAATTAAAATTCAGTGCTCAGTTAAAAGAATGTGTGTCTCCCTTGGCCCATTTAAAAGTGAAATATTGAGTCAATTACCATTACTTCTAACCATAGAGCAGCTTACTTCTATTTTTGGCTTTGGCAGGAAAAATACTGCACATGACCTCTGGATGTCCTTTCTGTGGTTCTCTGAGTACGCTTCTCTCTCATTTCCCAGTGTGAGGGCAGGAATATCACGTGTGAAACCAAACATGCCTTGTGTCAGCTTAATAGGCAGAGGTGAAATACTATTCAATAAGCATCCAGTTTAAAAAAACAAAACAAAACAGGAAGTGTTGGGGCTGGTTACCCAAGAAGTGTACAGTCCACATAGATTTTGCCACTTATGGCAAAGAGGTCAACAGGAAGAAGAGCAGAATATTAAGCACTGGTTTCTCAGAGGAGGACATGGGGCATTGTTTAATGGGTGTGACATCTCCATTTTGCAAGATGAAGAGTCTGGAGATGGGTTGCAAACAATGTGAACATACTTAACACCACTGAACTATATCACCTAAAATGGGTATTTTGTGTGTTCTAGCAAAATTAGTTTTTAAAAAGAGTTTAGGGAAAAACCATACAAAAACAAAAACAGCTTCTAGGAAAAGCCCTGCAAAGGCGATGATAAAGAAGGACACTTCTTGGCACTCGGGTGTGTCTGCCTTCCTCATGCCACAAGCCAGCAACACGAAAACATGAGAAAGGAAACGTCTCCCCAGTTAACTCAACAAAAAACATTCTGGGGTTTTTTCTTAGTATCTTTACTTTAAGACATGATGGAGAAATAGCCTACAGGTACACTTGAAAAAGGAAGATAAAGTGTAGACTCTCTCACCAGAAAATTCTAGTGCCCATCTGCCAGCATTGAGGCTGAAGGGCAGGGAATCATTGTTTCTGCTAATTCTGCCCATGTGGCATCTGGAGGGGGGCCTCCCACAGACTCACTCCTGCCCTTGCCTGTCTGCAGCCTCCAGCTTCAGAATAAGAGAAGGGCTCGGGGGGAGCAGCCGGGAAGCCGTAGTTTCTGAGATCCTGTGTAACTGCAGAATTGCTAAGAGATTGGAGAAAAGAAGAAAAAACATGACCAGAAGGGGCTTGGCTAGCTTCATCCATGAACAGCTTCTGTAATAGAAGATCCTTTTACCTGCTAGGGATAGTTTTTCTTACCAGAGACAACTGGCCATGTGCAATGTATGCAGGGAACCCAACCCAATACTAGGGTAGAATGTCCCCAACAGGCTGTCATGCTTTGTCACACTCCATGAGTAAATATTTTATGCACAGTGTTTTGTGTGTGTGTGTGTGTGTGTGTGTGTGTGTGTGTGTGTCCCCATGTGCGTCTAGTGTGCATAACATTCTGCGATACCTCCCTGGACATGAAGCACTTGATGCTCCTTTATTGAATTTTGTGTAATCTATGCACCAACATGTGGTGAGAAACAGATTTGAATTCATGCACACACTCTGAGGGTGAGTGAGTGACTTCAGAACAGTGGTCAGCTGTTACTGTGGATTTGAGAAATGTGCGTGCTATGGAAAGGATTTGTATTAAAACTTTTTTGTTTACTTCATGAAAATTTTACTCTACTGAATTATTTGGTAATAAATCACTCTAAGAAGTAATTTTCTGGAACCTAGGGTTTCACACACACACACACACACACACACACACACACACACACACACCTCGTGCTGAAGACTGACAGCTCTCCAAACCACTGGCTTTTGGTCTCTGTGCTCTTTCTACTTTAGAAGAGCCCGGTGGTCAGTTGGTGCTTTCTACAGGTGAAAAACCAGCCATCCCCATCTACAAAGAATAGCTGTAGGGTTTTGTTCGTTGCTCTTCACACAAGGCATTTCTGTGCTCGTTTTAGGAATACCCAATTTGAAAATGGAGGCCTTACTAACCTGAATCATTCATATTAAGTATCTCTATCCCAGAGCATAACTCTTAATATCATTTTTTTTAAAAAATTATTTGTTACAGGGTCTCCATATGCAGCTCAGACTCATAG